TCTCTCTCTCTCTCTCTCTCTCTCTCTTTCTCTCTTTCTCTCTTTCTTTCTCTTTTTCTCTCTCTTTTTCTCTCTCTCCCTCTCTTTCTCTCTTTCTTTCTCTCTTCTCTCTCTCTCTCTCTCTCTCTCTCTCTCTCTCTCTCTCTCTCTCTCTCTCTCTCTCTCTCTCTCTCTCCCTCTCCCTCTCCCTCTCCCTCTCCCTCCCCCTCCCTCCTTCCCTCCTTCCCTCCCTCCCTCCCTCTCTCTCTCCCTCTCTCTCTCTCTCTCTCTCTCTCTCTCTCTCTCTCTCTCTCTCTCTCTCTCTCTCTCTCATTAAGTTAACTAATGAGCATTTTTTCGTTTACTCAAATGCTAATTGCTTACTTGAATTCCAGCACTCATATCTCAGTGACGGAAAAGAAAAAGAAAATAATGACTTAATCATAGACTTAACTCGTCTTTTCTCTCCCCTCCCCAAATCCTCCGCCCTTATCTTTATTCTTCTCTTTAACTCCCCTCATAATTCTCACCATCCCTCCCTTATTCCTTCCCTCTACCCTCCTGTCCTCTCTCTCTCCCTCCTTTCCTTCCACCCTTCCCTCCCTCGCACCCTCTCTCCCTCTCTTCTCTTTCCCACCCTCCCTTCCTCCCCCTTCCCTCCCTCGCACCCTCTCTCCCTCCCTTCGCCTTCCCTCCCTCACTCCTTCCTTCCCACCCTCCCTTCCTCCCCCTTCCCTCCCTCGCACCTCTCTCTCCCTTCTTTCCCCTTCCCTCCCTCCCTCCTTCCTTCCCACCCTCCCTTCCTCCCCCTTCCCTCCCTCCTTCCCTCCCTTTACCAGACAATATCATCTCACCTCTCAGAGATCTATTATTCCCTCACTGACTCTCCCCTCTGTGTCCCCTCGGCCTTATGGACAGTTTGGGGAGTTTTCCAGTGCTTTATGACCCAAGAGGGCAAGGGGTCGCGCTCGCAGAGGAGAGGAGGAGGGGGGGAAGGGGGGAGGGGAGGGACGGGGGTCAACATTGAACAATTGCTCTTTTTTCGCCTAGGACAACAAGCTTCGTTATCTGTACGGCAGGAGATGGAGGGGGGGGGAGGGTTATGTTAGTAGGGGAGGGGGAGGAGGAGGGGACATAAGAAAGAGGGCTAAAAGGAAAAGAGGGGAAATGAGAGGGAGAGGGGGGAGGGAGGGAGAGGGGAAAGAAAGAGGGGGGGGAAGTGGGGGTGGAAACAAAAGCGCAAATTGTTGGAACGAGCTTTGTGCGCTGACGTCTAATTGGTGTTCTCTTAAAAGACATTTAACTCGGTCTGTTGTTCGACGATAGACTGGCCTTCACTCTTATTTTCGTTCACAGCTCGACGTAAGAATAGATGTAAAAGGGTTCCATCTTACAGTTTAAATGCAGTTTTGTTTAATTGTTTTACAAGGACCTGTTTCAGTTTTCATTTTGATAATAAAACTATTTTACAACAAAATATGTACATAGATATGTAGAAGGATAGAGTGACACACACACACACAGGGAAAGAGGGAGAAAGGGAGAGGGAGAGAGAGAGAAAGAGAGAGAGAGAGAGAGAGAGAGAGAGAGAGAGAGAGAGAGAGAGAGAGAGAGAGAGAGAGAGAGAGAGAGAGAGAGAAAGAGAGAGAGAGAGAGAAAGAGAGAAAGCGACCGAGAAAGTCCGAGAGACAAAGACAGAAACACGCATTTCCTTCGTACGGCCTTGCATGTAACTTACACACTTTACAAAATACTGAAGGAGTGCTTACACAACACATGCTGAAGATGCAGCATCCTCATCAACAGCATCCTGTAGTCGGATGCTGCTGTGCTGCCCTTTCTCTCTCTCTCTCTCTCGCTCTCTCTCTCTCTCTCTCTCTCTCTCTCTCTCTCTCTCTCTCTCTCTCTCTCTCTCTCTCTCTCTCTCTCTCTCTCTTTATCTGTCTATATATCTATCTATCTATCTGTCTGTCTATCTATCTATTTATTTATTATTTCTAGCACGCTCGTTTCTTGCTCTCTTCTTTCTGAGGCATATTTTTCTTTCACCTTTTGTTCCTTTTTCATCTTTTGCCCTCTCTTATCTTCCCGTTATTTTTATCATCGTTGTTATTCTTTTTGTGGATATTATCCTTATTACTCTTGTCATTGCTGTTATTATTGCTATTACTGTCACTATTGTTATTGTTAATATTACTATTGTTATCGCTACTATCAATATTATTAATGGCATTATTTTATTACCGTTTCCCTCTCCCCTGCTTTTCCTACCTCTCTTCCTCCTTTCTTAATTTTTTTTTCTCTCTTCTTCCCTCTCTCTTTCTTCTTCCCTTCCTCCCTCTCTCTTTCTTTCTTTTTCCCTTCCTCCTTCTCTCCTTCTTCTTCCCTTCCTCCCTCTCTCTTTCTTTCTTTTTCCCTCCCTCCTTTTCTCTTTCTTCTTCCCTTCCTCAATCTCTCTTTCTTCTTCCCTTCCTCCCTCTTTCTTCCTTTTTCCTTTCCTCCCTCTGTGTTTCTTTTCTCC